CAAGACATTCATACGTGCAAGTCTTGCGCTGTTTTTTTGGCAGATTCTAAGGTACTAAGTAGTCCTCTGCCATCTTTTTGTGCCTTTTGAGCTTGTGGCTCCTTTTCTTTTAGCTCTTTCTCTAGATGAGATATTTTTAATTTAGCTTGTTCCAATTCAGTCTTTGCTTGAGTAGCATTATTTTTTGCCTCTATAAGTTACAGATATTCATTATTATGGTAAAATTTTCTCGTTTACATTAGTCAAATATACCTTAAGTGATTTACCTTGAAGTTGTTCCATATATCCGTTCTCGTGTCCTTCTTGTGCTGAAACCCCTGTAGACAATGTTTGTAAGAGTTCGTCTGATTTTCGAACCTTTTCACTTTTCTCATCATGGTCTTTTTTTATTTGATCAAATTGTGCTTGTAATATTTCATAATTCTTCCTTTTCTGTGATAAATTTTGCTCTATCTACAAGAAGTAACGGTGAGTCTTTGATCTGATAACAATTTTTTATTTATCAAATAATTACCTCAGCTTTTACAGATAACAGCGCATCCTTGTTTTTTCTTTCTTCGGTAATAGATGTTTTAGTAAGCTCACATTTTGTATTAATTCGAACTATTTGATTAGAATACTCTGTTACGTTATTTTCTAACGTTTGAATCTTGTCACCGGTTCCTATCTCCTGTAATATGGTTGATGTTAGATTTTATAAATTATACAAATCTTAGAAATTAAATTATTTACCTTTTCTTTATTTAATGTGGTTTGTCTAATATCTTCTTCTAAATATGTGATTTCGTCTTTGAGTCTTTCATGAAATTCCAGTAATTCTTGAACTTTAACTTTTTTTGCTTCAAGATCGGCTCCTGATCTATCGAGCTTGTCCTATGTGACAATCCAAGAATAGTCAAATACAGGATTAACTTACCTACAAGGTTATTTTTAATGAAATAATAATAACAATGAATTAAACTAACCTGATGCTTTGTATATTCGTATGCGACAACCAATCGTGTTAATCGTTCGATATCAGATTCAGTCTTCTGAAATTCTAAATACGACCTTTTCTCTGTTCTCAATTTATCTAACTTTGGCCCGATTTCTTCCTTAAGCAACTATAAAGTAATTAAATATCTGCAATTTAATAACTGTTAAGAAGCTTATATAAATGATATATATTCACCTCTGTAATTTCTTCAAGTTTCTTTTCTTTTTTTGCGATTGTCTTCAACGCTTTTTCTTTTCTCTCCTCAAACATACGCGTTCCTGCAGCTTCTTCAATCATTGCTAAAATCTCTGGAGGTTTCATATTGAGAACTTTAGTTATTCTTCCTTGCATGATCAAAAAATGGGGATTATTTATATTGAGTTGAACAGATTGGAATAGATTTTGGACCACATTTTGTTGAGCACGATGACCGTTGACAATATATTTGCTTTGGCCACCTAAAATTATCTATAATGCGATTTTAGTAAAATTAGTACTGTATTTATTACTCTTCAATATGCAAAGTAATTATTAAGAATTCTACCTGTCTTGTTATACTGATACGTGAATATTTCTCGAAACCTACAGGACTATTGTCTCTATTTTCATTATTAAAGACAATAGTTACTGAGGCCTTATTAACCCCGGTTTGACCACGTTTGTAGATCAAATCTTGCATATTGCTTGCTCGTACCTAAGTTAATTTAAGTTAATTTAATTAAATGCTAAGAAAGCGAATGATATAAATTGTTACTAATGTGTTTTACTCACCTGGCTTAAGTTGGTAATACCCAACACAAAACAAATTGCATCTAAAATATTCGACTTTCCAGATCCGTTAAGACCAGTAATCGCGTTAAATTCAGGGTCCCATCCTGAGATAATAGTACGGACGGCATAAGATTTAAATCCATCTATAATAAGCTCTTCTATCCTCATTGTAGGCAAAAAAATTTAAAAAACGCGAGAATGTTGATTGTATCTGAGATTCTCGAATATTGGTGACGTATCGCGATTTCTAGTTATTGAAAATCCATTTGATTGGCTAATGATTAGTAATTGAAACTTTAAAATCTTATTTGCCGATTATTTTATTAGTGGTATCACTAGTCGAAATAAAGCCTATCGGGCAAATATCATAACTTTTTTAGTCCCGATATGACACTGATTAATGGCTCGAATCGTGTCATTTCCAGGTTTATATCGGAGCTATTGGTTAAATATCAGAAACCTGATAGCTTTATAATTTTACTGATAACTCTATCAGTTCCGATATGAACCTAGTAATGACCATTAATCAGTGCCATATCAGGACTAAAAAAGCCTTATTTCGACAGTGTATCTATAAAAAAACGTAATTTTAGAGATCTTATGTAGGACTATATAGCTACTCTTTATTTTTGAAAATTTCAAAATGCACATTGGTTACAATTTCCGAATGTCTTTACTATAACTTAATTGTCTTTACTATAATTTAGTTGTCTAGGTATTGCTTAATGTTAGCCTAGTTTTAAAAATTATAAAAAATCAAAACTATATACATAAGGCTGAATCAGCAGCATATTGGTAAGATATCGTAACATAACAGCAAAATATTGAGATACACCGGAAATCATATATGTTCACAGTGAACATAAATTTTTGAAAAAAATCAAAATTTTTATATTTTATGTTCACATGGCGTGAACATAAGAAATCAAAAATTTTATATAGCATTTTATGTTCACTTAGTGTGAATATAAATTTGAAGTTTACAATTTCTTGTTTATAATTTATTAATATAAAGATCGTATTTATGCTAATACAAGTGTAATAGAGTGCTGCTGGCCCTTATCAGGTACATAATTAAATATAGCATAACTAATATTAATAAAATACTTGTAATTTTAAGAGGTTTTAATTTTATTATAAATCATATTTATTTTTATGTGAACATTATAAAAAAAAATTATGTTCACAAAAATCATTAATTTTTTTTTGAATTTCCAACTGCACCCGATATTCATTGATTCAACCTGTATTAATTAAATTGGTTACTTTACTTAATATATATTTTATTGAAATTAGAGGCATAATTGGCAATGGTTCCAATGGGAGAACCTCGATGGGATTTACGGAGCTCAATAGATACTTTCCTTCATTATCACTATAGTTTGTGGTATAACAGATAATTAATTTGGTAAATCAATACAGTTACCCGTAGCGCCGTAACGCCGCGTTATACCGTAATGCCATTATATCTTAATCCAGATTAATCTAATTCTTCAAGAAATCAATTATAATGTCAAAATGCTGTAATGACATAGGATGACATTTCGCTAGCGTAATAAAATAATTTTAGAAACAAGATACTACATAGTAAAAATAAGACCTTATTCACTTTCTTTTTATTACGTATTAAAATGATCTTATTTAGTCGATTAGGGATTATTAACTAGTTTATACGTATGTACTTATGAATTATTTAACAATAATACAGTATATACATACTGTATAATCAAGATCATAAATTAGCATACATAAATTGTATATGCCTCGAATGCGGATATTAAATTTTAGCCAATCAGCACAACTCTATGATAAAAAAGATGGTCAGAGACCATCGTTCTTTTTCATACGTAGCGATAATGAACTCATTTGATCGGCTAAACTATTTAAAATTCTATGAATTTAGGTGCTTGAGAGCACCCTAAACTATACCTTTAACTTTAACCCTAATTTAGGCTAGTTAATACCCTGAGCAAACCATAAATAATATATGTACTAACCAATTTTGTTTTTAATCGTGACTTTGGAGCTAAACTTATAAAGTTTGATGCGCTTGCCATCATCATGATTACTACGATCATTATGTCAAGATTGCGGGATTAAAAATCCGTATGTGAATAAGCGGAAAACGAAGTTTCCGCTAATCCCCAATATTATATATTATTACAAATTACAAAAAAGTGCCACTGCCACATTTATAATTATAATAAGCGACTGTGGCATATGGGACTATGTAAATTTTATAATCCAATTCAAATAAGCTTTTTTTTGATTTTGTAGAGCTTAGTGAGTTCTACAAAATAAAAAAATTGGTTGAATTGGATTTTTAGATGGCTAGAAATTTTAATTTTTATTCATTTTCAAGGCAAAGACCCCATTGGTTTCGTAATTTTGGTCATTGTTAATCTAAACGTTCATCATAAACATTGATACCAACATTTAATACGAATAAGAATTGTGCGAAAATTTTTGTATAATGGTTGAAAGCTCGTTTCCATGAATTTTTTCTAATTTCTTGGTGCAGTTATATCTGATTGGGCAATAATCACGGGATCGCTAAATTTTTATGTATCTACAGTATATCAGATATCAGATACATAACATAGTACAGAAACTCTTAATGAAAAAGGAAAGGACTATTAATATGGTTCTACATGACTAATCTTATTGACTTTTTATTAATTAATTAATAAAATCGGATTCCAAATGACTAATCTATTCGATTTTTCTTTTATCCGGGTACTAACTTTTTATGCTTGGTTATTTAGATTTAAGTACATTTTTGTGCAATTCTCATAAAATCAGAACGAACCATTAGAGTATTTATATTACTTTATTTCCCATTGAATAAACATGTTTAAAATATGATCGGCTGAAATTCATGTTTCTATGACAGAATCTATATTAAATCTACTAAATAGTATCCGCATGCAGAAACAAACGCTAATAATTTGAGTAGCGGTAATAAATCATTTTGTGTAAAAAAAAAGAAAAGCATTATTTTTTAGAATTTTGCATCGTCACATATTTTATTTTGCTTTTTCTAAGATTCATAATCAAAATTTTACATTTAACAATATCAATATACTAAGTATTTGATTGAAAACTTCATCGTAACCTAATAGCGAAAGTAAACAACAGATAGTAACGTGGAAAAAAAAAACACTATTCCTCATTTCATTGGGCATGCCGAGGCTAGAAATTTATAAAAAAAATTTTTTTGAGAAAACATCGAAATTATTTAACCTAATCATCAATGTTTAAAAATACATTTATATCCTTCATCTTCTTATTCATTTTATTCGTATCCAACGCACATTCTGTTGATTATTCATATACTAATACCTTAAATAGTGATCAAAATGGTACTATCGAAGGTCTTCCATGTCAAACAGACAAAGAATGTAGCATTCAATTAAATATTTCTTCAAATGGATCTCCTGCGTTGGGTAATTATTTATGTGCGCAAAATCAATGTAAATTTGTTGTTGCCTCCGGTGAGTTTTTCTTTAAAAACAACCTTCATTTTCAATTCGAATTGATATTTAGGCATAGCTTGTATTATAGCATTGACATGTTAAATCGTGTAATCGATCCATTCTTGGCGCCATCTAATTTTTTTTTTGCTCTTTTAAAGGCCAACCATGTTATGATGCATCGGATTGTGCTGCCTACCACTACTATATTAATAATATTTTCGAAAAATCTCTTGATATTGACACTCTCTGTGATGCACGTAATGAAAAGCTCAACTCTCGGTGTGATGATGTGTGGGATAATTCAACTAATCATACCTTTAAAGATCCTCAAAAATTTTGCGGTGGTATACCAGTGGGTGAAAATTGCTCTTTGGTAGCCACAAATGTTGATCCATGTGATCAATCTTCGCAATGTATTAATTCAACTGATAATGTAATGATATGTGATAATAATAGTTCCAAATCTAATTCTGATATTCTTATTGGTGTTATAATATGCTTGGCTGGAAATATTATATTGAATATTGGTTTGAATGTACAAAAATTTGCTTTTACAAAATATCAAGAGAAAATTAGCAAAGATGTAAATCGAGAAGTGGAGGATAACGATGCATCATTGTCGAATGATAAAAAAGATACCAATTTTGTGCCAGGAAGATCAAGTTTATCAGCGCCAAGTAATAGGCCAGCAACTTCTCATAGATGGCATAAAAAGTTTGAAAAGCTAACGTTTTGGAAACAGATTGTAGTGTCTCCGGTATGTTTTGCAACTTATGTTTGTGTCTCTTAATATTATTTTGTTCCTAAATTTAAATTTGCTTCTCGAAATAGCTCTGGGTAACGGGTTTATCCATCTACGTGGGTGGTACGATGATGGGTTTCGTGGCATTAAAATTTGCTCCTCAATCTTTGGTAGCACCATTAGGTGCTATCTCATTAATAACGAATTTATTAATTGCTCCCATACTTCACAAACAAAAGTTATCATATTCAGACACTATTGGAGTTATAATTATTGTAGGTGGATGTGTAATTATTACTTTCGTACCGGGTGACACGATTCAAGGTTGGTCTAAAGAAAGTTAAATGAAATGCAAGAATTGAGTACCTTTCATTTACTTAACTTTTTTCATGTATAGATTACGATCTATGCGTTCTAATGTCAATATTTCAACGTAAAGGCACTATAATTTATTTATCAATAATAGCATGTTTCATAATTTCACTTTATCTATTTATTCGGTTTGTTGAAAAAGTCAAACCTAAAACCGAGCAAAATGTATCAAAGAAAAATTCTGTTTTACCATCATCATCGAAAAATGATGAGAATTATTTGTCAATGAGAGATAATTCCAAATTCACCAATGATTACATAAATCTAACACATCAAGATTCACTCAAACGAAATAGCTTTTTAAGTTCAACGTCATACTCTAGTGACTCACACACTCCAAGTCAACACATAGAATTAGTGCAAGTATTACAAGATTCGGATACATCAAATGAAATTTCAGACGCTTCAAATAATAACGAAAACATAAAAAAATCAACGACACAACGGAATTCAACAACTACAATAACTTCCGTGAAAGATGTGAAAGAGCGAATCTTGTTACCAATTGCGTACGCTATTTTAGCCAGTAGCATGGCTACCATGACTACTTTGTTTGCCAAGGTATGAATTAAAATTTTAAAACAGTTGTTCCTTTTATTTATTTCACTCACTCTTTCCAAACTATATTTTCATAAATTAGTCTTTAATAAATTTGTTATCAGAATCACTATTTCATAATAATAACCAATTCACATATTTTCCTTCCTGGATAATATTAATTATAACTGTGACAACAGCATTTGGACAAGTGTACTGGCTGAATATGGGATTAAAAAAGTATGATGCTCTAATCCAAGTCCCTATATTTTTTTGTAATTGGACTGTTTTTGACATTATTGGTGGAGGTACGTATGTAATCTACAAAAAAAAATTTAGTACAAACTCAAAAAATTCATTAATTTTTAAACATTAGGCATTTATTACGATGAATTCAAAAGTTACAGCATTAAAAAATATGGAATGTTCATCGTAGGAGTGTTGCTTATTTTCTCCGGTGTCGGGATATTATCCAAACGATTGGCAAATTTGTCAAAAGAGGAAGAATAATTAAATAAAAGACAACGGGAGTTGAAAGAGATGAGCAAAAAACGGGCAATTGATTAGGACTTGCAAAATCATACGATATCTTTATTGTTGTGTGTTGCCAATGTTGCGTGTTGCTAAATGCATATCTGTGCCAAAAAAAAAAAAAATTAACCTTTTTGGCTGGTTTCGTGTAAGCATTGTACCAGTGTATATAATTTTTTGACAGTAGAATGAATCAGTTATGTATATCATTCGATAACTTGATCCGTGAGTGTTTCATGTTGAAAGGATTTAGAATTATATACATATATAGCTCAAATCATTTGTTTTTTAAAAACATAATTTTTAGTTGAAAGTAAACCATTTCATAAGATTTGTTACTTTTTCTTCTAAATAAATAATAAAAAAATAAAATGAAAGAGAAATTCTTTAACGCTAATTTTCCGAAAAGCGCTGATGGTCGAGTTTTTCATGTTGGAATCAAACGAGGCGAAAGTACATGAATTTATTAAGATGATCTCGGTTCATTATTTTATTGTTAAAATTTTTTTTTTTAAAAAAATAAAAAGTTGCGAATAGGATAATTACTGTGGGTGATCTAAATAGAGCAAAATTATTTTTAAGATTGCTGGACTCGGACACACCGATATTTCAACGAGAAAGTCATCGAGGGTTTATAACAATCACTGGGAAGTATAAAGGAGTCCCTATTAGCATTGTTGGAATTGGGATGGTAAGGTTTCTTTAAGAAAAAAAATTTTTTCTTACTAAATGACACAGTAATTTCTTCAATAATTATTATTTATCATTAAAAAAAAAGGGTTTATCAATGATGGACTTTTTCGTTCGCGAAACCAGAGCGGTAATAGATGGGACCATGATCATAATAAGGCTTGGGACATGTGGCTCTATTGGTAATGCTAATTCCGGCGATGTAGTCATATCAGAAGGTTCTTTCGCGGTCACGAGAAATTACAATTATCCAATTTTTGAGAATAAGAAGATAATTCAAGATTATGAAACAAAGACGAAAGAGCAGCCGTACAACATATCAAAAGTGTTCTATGGAGACAAGGAGATTTGCAGTTTGGTAATCACCTATTTTTGCAAAAATGCATACCCATTATTCCTTTTTAATAAAAATCATATAATTTCCTAGATTCGAAAACAATTAATAATTTCAGGAATCCCTGGTAGTCAAATAGTTCAAGGTCTAAATGCTACAAGTGATAGTTTTTATTCTTCGCAAGGTAGATATGACGAAAATTTCGAGGATTACAATAAAGGACTGATCGAATCTATTCGTACTAAATATCCGGAAGCGGAATCATTTGAAATGGAAACTTTCATGCTTTATTATTTAGCCAAGTGTAGTACCGACGCCCCATATCGTAAAGTTAGTAATGAATTAAAAAAAGAGGGAAAACAAAAGACAAAAATTAGTAACGATACTTTAACGACCCAAAAAGGATTTAATTCAAGAAATAGCATAAGAGCAGCTGCAATTATGATAGTAATCTTGAATCGTAACAAAAACGAAATGATCGATCCTGATAAAGTGAATTATTTAGAAAGAACTGTTGGAGAAGCTGTTTTGAAAGGTTTGTTAGAGATTGAATTGGATGAAGAGCATATTGGAGATGATTGTGTTTGGAATTTGAAAGTTTAATCTCAACTTTAAAAGTTTTTTTTTTTTTTTTATAAATTTTGTTTAATGATACATATATTATGGTAAAGCTAGACGTTTTTTTCGCTTTAAGTGGATACAAACCATTTGTAAATTTCATATTCAAAGAACTTATTTACTATAAGTGCAATTGAAATTAGGCACATTCATCTTTATAATTGTGACGTCAAAAGAATAAGCAGTTACAGCAAAGTGTCGTCGTAATAACCGACATTTGCCATTAACCAAGTTTTTGATCATAACTTTAATATTAGCGTAGGTTGATGCGATAGATATTAATTTCTTAAAAAATAAATTAAATTGTAAATTGATATCGATAATATGAAATTTAATTTCAAAGATCTTTTTTAAATGTTGAATTGGAAATGTAATAATAACAGATAATTTGTATTAAAAGGACTTCGACATTAATACTATGAATCGGGACAACCCTAAATCTATTTTCTGGTCAACCTTAGAATGTAAAAAAATAAAGCTAGTTCGATATTCTATGTAAATCAATACTATATATGATATCATATATGTTCTTCCCAATATGCTGTACTACCTTTTTTAATACCATATTTATTCCTAATATCATTAGGCTTTGAAGACATTGTCCAAATAAGTGGACTGTAATATTGCATTAATTCTTGTACGTACGTACTGTACGTAGCTATCGCGATTATTTTTAGATTGACAATTACTAGCCATATATGCAACAAGACTTTTAGAAAGTCATTTATTGACTAAAAAAAGATTGGACATTGAGATTTCGTTTAGCTAATCGGAAAAAAAAGTTGGGATTTTCTAAACTATTACATCAGATTTTTTTCTTATTGAATGTCGTATGAATTTTATAAAATTCAGGGATATAATTTTCAGTTATTCTATTTGTAAGTTGAAAAATGTCAAAGATTTTGCGGGCGCACCCCATGGTTATATCAAAGAGATTACGAAAAGTTTTGAAGCCGACAAACCAGTAATAGCCTAGACCTTCGTCCGGAAATCGAAGCCACAAAACTTGTCCTGCCTTACACGGAGGTATCTGAATTATACTTGCCGCAAAAACTAATCGTCCCAAATCCCACCCAATTTATTATGTTTGGGATTGGGATTTGGGCTTTGGGACAATTTTACTATGTTTGGGATTTGGGGCGGCATATATAATCTGAATAGTCTCATAATAAGGTGGATCATCTATCCGAAGAGGAACGGATAGTCCATATATATTATGTCAGCATCTCTCCATTGTGTGTAGTTGGAAGTTAAGCGATATTTCGTTCCACTTGCACAGGTGTTCCAGTCTTCGGACTGGATAGTCCAAAACCAGCATGGAGTGTAACCTTTAGGCCATTCTTTAGAGACATAGTGGCCAACAAAATGATTAAATATTTGTTGGAAAAATTGTGAAAGTTCTGGTAGATAAGGACAAAGGTTTTGAGAAACTTCCTCCCAGGATATATAATGAGGCACTGCAAAGTCATAGTAGTGCCAGATAAAAATTTTCAATTCTCTAGTTTTGGACCTACAAGATAGAATTTACAAGGTTCTTTATACAGTCTTTCTCCCATATAATTACCCAATTTATCTAGCACTTTTTGGTGATTATACAGAAGGTGATTAAATAGAATTACTTCTATATAATCACATAATATAGAATAATTAAATAATGTGATTCTAAAAAGGTAAAATAATATTTTTTATTTATAAATTTTAAAATGTCTATTAAATAGAATAAAATTTGTTATTTTACTCAAATGTTGACGATGGATATCTTGATAAGTATTAATTCAAATCAGCTCAACTTTTTACTATAGATGGAATTACTATTTTTATATTTGATATAAAAATTTCAGCTGATTTGGTCTGGTAGTTCTCGAGAAATCGCTTGTATCAATAATCAATTTTTTAAAACAAATTGACAATCGTATATAAGTGATTTCTCGAGTACTAACAGACCAAATCAGCTGGAATTTTTACATATAGTATAAGAATATCAACACTATCTATTATTAAAATTCGAGCTGATTTAGATCAAAAGTTATTAAGATATCCATTGTCAAAGTTTGAGTAAAAATAGCAAATTTTTTTAATAATTAATTATTATAAATTTTTGCTATTTTTACTCAATATTGACAATAAATATCTCAATAACTATTAACCCAAACAGACTCAAATTTTTATTATAGATAGTGTTGATATTCTTATATTAAATATACAAATGTCAGTAGATTTGGTCTGGTAGTTAATCGCTTGTATTTAATAGTCAATTTTTTAAAACAATAAAACAATTGACTATTATATACAAATGATTACTCAAGAACTAACAGACCAAATTAGCTAAAATTTTTATATATAGTATAAAAATAACTATCTATAATAAAAATTTGAGCTTATACAAAATATACATACAACTCTCTCTGACGATCATCTGCATCAAAATTTTGAAGAGAAGAAAACTAACTTTATAGCACAAAGGCATTAATTAGTATAGCTTCGGGTCATATTAAAAAAGTTAAAGCACAGAAAGATACACTAGTGTACCAAGTTTAAAAGAAAACGAACAACAAGAAAGCACTTTAGCTTTAGGTTTCTGCATTTTTGGTGGATAGTTTTGAAAATTTGAGGAATTGCTCTAGACCCTGTAATATAGATTACCACATGTAACAGTAAACAAAGTACATGTAAATGGGTAAATGAATAAACAAACAAGTATATTACCATTTGTAGATAGATGCAGGGAATACAAAACAATATAAGAAAACAACTTAGTCACATAAATTACATCGGCACACATGTGACAAACAAGGATCAATCACCTTCTTCTAAGATAGAATGAAAGCAAAAAATAGAAATATACAAAAACCTTTTTGCAAAGTCTTTTGAAGAATTTAATGTAGTTAAGAATAAACATAAGAACAAAATCCTAAGAAAAGACAAAGAGGTAGCTAAAATAGCTAGAACAGAACCACAGCTAATATGCCTTTTTAGAAATATAATTGAGCTATATAATCAGTTGAAGTTTCTTAGAGTTAAAAATGCTAATAGAAACTAAATGGTAAAGCCTAAAGAAGTACTTAGGATAAAAGAAGTTTTAAACGATCAAGAATGCAGCTATGTAGATTATGGAGTCTTAGAGAAATTAAACATAAATAAATACAAGCCATCGTATGAACAGATAGAGCTAAGCTTAACCTCTCAAGAAGCAGTAGCCAAAGAAAAGTCAGCAGTAAAGGAAGAGCCTCTGAACAAAAACAAAGAACTTCTTATGCCCAAGAATAAAAAAACAAGTATTATTCAAAAGGATGGGCACTTAGTATCTGAAGAAAAAGAAGAAGAAGAGGCAGGTTGTATACAAAAGACAACAGAAGCACAAAAAAAGGTGTTTCTACAAGAATGTTTTATGCTATGAGATATTCTGCTTGGCATAAAAGCAATAAGAATATGAAGGTGCCTACAGTTCTATAGCCAGGTTCAATTTAAACAATAGGAACTTCTCGAGAAAAAGAAAGTGGTATTCTTTATTTTAACTTTTCGAAATGAAAGAAGAAAAGCTCTATTAGAAAAAGCATGAGCGGTACACTTTGAGGAAGAAAAAATGTTAAGAGTATTGAAGAATGATTTCGCAAGAGATATTATTGAGGATAGAGCAGAATATAAGGCTATAGTCAAGAATATTCCAAAGACAGTGCTAGAAACAATGCTATTGAAACAGCTAAAAGTAGTTAAAGCACAGGCAGTATATATATTTTACAATAGCAACAAAAACCAAAGAGGCACAGCATTGGTATTCTTTGAATCAGAGAAGGATTTGTGTGCAGCCCTGAGTAAAAGAGTGTATTACTACAATACAAAATTAAAATAGATAAAGAGCAAGGAGTTTAAAAGGAAGAATAGTAGTACACACAAAAACGATCTAGCAAATAGAGAAGAAAAACTATCATGAAGAGTTATTAAAGCAGAAGAACCTTTAAACACCCTGGGGAAAAAAAAAGTGGACAACTCCTGTGAAAATAAGGAGAATGTGGATCCAGCAAAGCAGCAGCATAAACAAAAAAATAATCTCAAGGATAAACAACCAGAGATGATCGGTCAAGAGGAAGAAGAAAAGCCTATAGAAATTAAAGATATGCTGACAAAAATACTAGGCAGATTAGATAAGATCGAGGCTCAACAAGAAACAAAAAACAGATTTAGAAAAAGGAGCCTGTTCTCTAGACACTTCTAGAAGTTGCCACAAGCGTAATAAGAGAAAAAGGTGGCAAAGCCACCAAGTATGAAGAAGGAGATGATAGAGAAAATAGTAGGGTGATAACTTTAGAAGTTCATAATATAAATAGAATTAAAACGAACAAATGTAAAATAGATAGTGTAGTAGATTTTGCAAAAGAGAAAAGAATAAACATTTTAGGCTTATGTGAGACAAATATACAAGATAGGGAGAGTATTTGGCAAATTAACAAAGAGGACAAATATTTTGGCTTCTGGGTGTCAGCAGCAGAAGAAAAGAAAAAGGGTTCAGGGGTGGCACTTCTGATACATAAAAGTATTGAAAAGTATCTAGCTAGAGTTTTGAAGTGGTCACCATATTTATTAAAAGTGACATTTGTTTTTAAAGAAGAAGTATGGGTTTTGTTAATGATTTATATACCACCAAACAATAGTGAAATCAAAAAAAAAATCTGCTGAAAGATAATAAAAAGAGCAGAACAAAAGTACAAAGATAAGAAGACAAATGTATAGTGATGGGAGACTTCAATATAGAGTTGGAAAAAATAAATCACAATATAGGGAGAAGAGCTACAGCTATAAATAGAAAAACTCTTATCTGGGAACTCATAGACAGAGACTTCAAGAGCACCTTTAAGAAAATAAAAGATGGAGGAAAAATAACTACAAAAAGAGGCGCAGAGAAAGACATAACAATTAATTATATATGAGTCTTCAATAACTGGTTTAAAGACTTAAGAAAGTGCAAAGTACAAGAGATGGACCTGATA